TTTTTTTTAGAGATTGTGCTTGCCGCAATCATTCTTGGGCCATTGCATCGACACACAGAAATCATGAAGATATCATTCGCCACGACATGTCGTAAATTTCACAAAATAATATCTCTGTCTGGCTGGAGAAATTGGCATTGAATATCCGTGAACATTTTGATTGTTGAAAAATGCTTGGACCATAAGGTCCCACTAATCATGATCATTCTTTAGACATTTTAGCTTCACAACTGATGTCCGGGCACCTCCTGCCGAAGTTGCAACTCAAGACATCCCTCCTGGCCCCTCGTCGCCTTCGCCTTCACCTGTGCCACAGGCCGACAACGAGGCTGTGTGACGAGCACATGTGGTCCGATCCGGATTTCATTGAGGCTGTCGATCGCATGGAGGCCGCCGTTGCCCAGGCCGCTGCTCCCGAGGCCGTCGTCGCTCAGGCCGCCCACGACTCTGCCCCGTTCTGGCCGCTCGACAAGGTGCGGCTGACACTGGCCCCACGACAGGCCGATGAAGACTGGTTCACAAAGCCTGCTGACATGGTGGACTTCGTATTCTTCCGGCCTTGCTTTCGATCGGACGGCGTGCAGAGGAGCGCAAAGCTCCGCATGCGCATCAACGTCACCAGCCTGGCCGGCCTGAATAAGGCCTTTCGACAGCGCCGCCTTAGGAGTAAGCCCGAGGCCAACTTCATTGGCCACGTGGCCGAGATTTGTCTGCTCGCCCCTTTGCAGAGACAGGACAAAAACAGCCGCAACCACTGGATCTACCTGGTCGATGCAAACGGCCAGCATCGCGTGACCACACAGCTGTTCCCGGCCGACAAGGACCCTTTCGCTTTTGGGCAGGCCTGCCCAGATATCGAGTTTGGTGACATCAGAAGAAAAGCAGGCTCTCTGTTCCCTCGTGCCATGTTGCACTGTCTTGTTCGACAAAGAAATCCAGAAAGCCATCCTAACTGGAGCGTAATACCTTACTTGAAGCGAAACCGTGGCGCGACATCAGCGAAAAAAAAATACTCAATCACGATTCACGGCCTGACCCTTCACTGGCCTTTGCGAATCCTCTGCAGACCAATTGCTGTTTCGCGACGTCAGGGCGCCGTCTGCAGAAGTCGTCGTGAGGCTGGAAACCAATAACATGAACCTTCACCACCATATGCCGGGATATTAATGAATCATGATTCATAAAGTTGTGAATCACATTTGGCCCGGTGTTTCGTGAAATTAAGTTCAAGACGTGCCGGAACCAACCTTTGCCTGCCTGCCTGCTCAGAATGTGGACTGTAAACATTCGCCTGCCGTCCGGGCAAACAGCTCGTGGTTTTTTTTTT